CAAAAAGTTTTCAGATAAAAGTTGTAGATAATTACACCCCTAATAAATTTGTGTTCTCCGATTTTTTCTAAAGCCTGTCATTTTTGACATATGACACATGCATGACACAGACATATGTTTTTTATTTAACCATAGTTGGCCATGACTTCATAAAAAGTGCCATTTTTAAGCTTTTCACTGATATAAGCTATAATATGTTTTTTTTTCGAAAAATTACTGAGTTATAGCCAATTTTTATCTTTCTTGACAAATTTCACTTAGTTGGCGTGGTATTCTTATTATTCTGTTATAATTTATAACTTATAAAAAGACAGGATATTTTATTAAACGGTTCTTTACATTTTACATTACACAAACTAAAACTTAAAAAACTAATATCACTACATACACTTTAAGTTATTTTAGCAAATGTTCAAAAAAAACCGCCATTGTTTTGAGTACATAAAATGAATCTTTTTAAAATTAAATTACAAGCTTTTCCCACAGAACGGCCGGTCGACTTTAATAAACTTCTCCCGTACCGCCTCTTCGAGTGCCTCTCTTAATTCATAAGTTCTTTTGTAAACCTTGTTAAAAAAAATCTAAAATGGATAGGTCATGTGATCGAGGAGGCCCATGCAATTGGTCCACCTCTTCCTATCCCTGAGTTTGCATAATTTTGATATAAATAATTTTTAACATTTCTCTCATTATAAGGGGGAGTGAGTGTCATAATGTTGTGTAAGTCATGTTGGAACAACTCTATTGATGCGCGAGTATCTAAATTTAACTTTTCTAAAAAACGTAAGTAACGTTCACCGGTCAACATATCCTCGAAAATGTATAGCCACGAAAAGTTGAACCAATAATCCTACACGCTTCTCTTTATTTGTAAAATTCATATTTACAGTTTTTGTTTATTTTAGTTTACAAAGTTTGGATGTGACAGTTTCACATTACTGAGAGCAACGACGATTGAACTTGTTCTCATGGCTAACTAAGTGAAATTGTTTAAAAATGATAAGAATGGGCTATAATTCGTAAGTAATTTAACTAAGCTATAACTCGTAAGTATTTTTTCGAAAGAAACATATTATAGCTTATATCGCTGAAAAGCTTAAAAATGGCGCTTTTTATGAAGTCATAGCCAACTATGGTTTCCATTTAAAAAAAACATATGTTTGTGTCATATGTCAAAAATGACAGGCTTTAGAAAAAAACGGAGGACACAATCTCATTAATGATGTGATTATCTACAACTTTTATCTGAAAACTTTTTGTCTAAAATAGATTATAATGGAATTAGGGACAATTTTTGAAATAGCCGAAATTTGTTTTCAAAAAAAGCTTTTTCAAAAATCTGAAAAGCGCATGTTTATGACCCCACAAAACTGCAATTCTTTTCTTATTTTAACCGACTCCTTATCTCCATTAGAGTTTCCGAGATACCCATAGAGAACATCGTAGGAAACTCACCTGTAGATAGTAAGCATATTCTACTTTTTCAGTTACATTATTAGATTGTAAGAATAAAATAAATTTACAGGAATAATCTGGGAAATCTGGATGTATCGCGGCTATATCTGTGAAAAAACAGATAGTGTTTTCTTTATCGTTAAATTTATATTTTTTTACTTTCTATGACGTGATGGGGAGTAAACTTTGAAACACCAAGAAGTGTAATTTGTTGGTCGGATAAATTTGTGTCCGTGGACTAAACGGCATTTTACAAAACAATTTGCGTAGCGATATGCCCAAATTTTTCAGTAATGCACTCACCACCAAGATGTATTCATCACAGTAAAAATGTTTCTTGTACCGTACACATTTGTTTTTATATAGCAAACTCTAGGCCCACAAATTTAAAAACAGCATTTTTTGTTTCCAAAATTATTTAACGAAAAATGAACCCGAATCAAAATTTCACCCGTTCGGAACCTGAAATTTAGTTTTGACATGATGGGCCTCAGTGCAAAATTTCTTTTTTTCTCGGCGCAGTTCGACAATTACGAAATCAAACCCGGCAAGACGTTGAAAATTAACATTAGCGTGCCGAATCTGAGGCTTTTCGTTGGAAACATACCGAAATCTAAGGGCAAAGAGGAGATTCTGGAGGAGTTTGGTAAATTAACAGGTAACGTTCAAAAAATTGAGACGCTTTCTGATCAACGGTGGCCATACAAGTTTGAGGAAATTGTCTCGAGACGCCACGTTTTTCTTTAGATATTATAATAATTTTTCAGTTTCTGAGTTAAATTCTATCCTAATTGGGGAGAAATCTATTTTTTTGGTGTTTTTCTTCATCTATACAAACATGTAATAACATAGGATATCTATGTAATTTTAAAAATGATGACTATACGTTTCTCATTGTATTTTAGAGGAAAGCTTTTATAAAACCTTCAAAGAACTTATTAAAATGAAACAAATTGTGCATTTTCAATAGCTTCTACGAATTAATTCTTTAGTTTCGAAAAATAAGTTTCGTTTTTTAATTATAGTATCGTATTTACATCTTAAATAGCATATTCTTCTGTTTTCAGTGCCTTTCCTCTATAGAGAGCGTTGGCGACCTCTCGCAAGTACACGGGACCCAAGAACCGTAAACTAATAGGATTGCTCATCCTCATTAGAAGTACGTTCGACTCTTCCCGCGCTTCAGCTGATAGTTGTGACGTCATTGTAGTCCTTGTCATGATACTGTGTATTATTGGTTGCCTATGGTAAACTAATAAAAATAACAGCTGAGAAATTTTGAGTTAATTATTTTGTCGATTTTAAACGTGAAAAAGGTGTTTTTAAAGTTTTTAGAGCTATAGAGTTAATAAATACGTTCATTTTGTGTTGTGGATTGTGGCTAAGTGCTTAGTAAGTGCCTACGATATTTTTTATTAATTATTTTAAAGCAAAATATGGAAGTACTCTAAAAAGAATGCCTGCAAAAGGTGATCCTGGGAACTGCTATTCTTAAAAATGCATTATTCGAATATTTAATATGATTTATACAGTTAATTTTCTATACTGCATACATATAAGGTACTTAAATAAATAAACTAAATAACGAATGTTTTGCTTACGGCAACCAATAATACACACACTATCATGACAAGGACTACAATGACGCCACAAAGCGAAGAGTTTTCGTATGCAGACACTTCCTGCTGAATGAGCAGTCGTATTAGGTTAACTGTTCTTGCACGGGACATACAGTTTATCGCCTAATCCGAACGGCACTATTTGAGAGGCTCTACTAGGCAAATATATTCAAGGTGGTTAGTCATTGCGTTTTTTCAGGTGGCGGCCGGCTGGTCACTCTATTTAGACAAATTAATATTTTTATTTAAATAAATAAAGCGACAGTCTGACTGGGGATCGAACCTAGTACCTTTCGCACAGCAGTCGACACACTATTGCTGCTGGAGCCACGGCCGACTACAAAAATAATCATATTAGAATATCTTAAATATCATTTCAGATATTTTTGGTCGATCTGTAGAAGAAAAAAAATGTGTTTTTCGAAAGTAGCTGACTCTATAATTTTTTTATTTTTTTTTTCAGATATATCGTCAGAAACGAGATTTGATACGTTAATATATGTCATAAATCAGGATTGATTGACGCATTCAGTTGTTTTCGGTCACTTCTTGTTACACCGCAAAAGACTATTGATTTTTAAAAGGCACCCTCGGTATTTTTTTTACTTTATCCGATAGAAAATTACACTTTGAAAGAATGACATATCATATGTCAGCTTTTGACATTCTCGTTTAACAAAAAATCGTTTTTTTTTAATTTCAGCGACTGTATTAAAAACATTAATTTTTAATCGAGGAGTCTTGGAAAAATAGATTTGATCGTGTGTTTGAAAGTGTCTTGTTCTGGCCGGTTAAAAGATGCCCAAATTGTATTTTTAATCATAACTTAATTTTTTCAAATGGAATGACGGTGGCTCATTAGCATATTTGAAAAAAGCATTTTTTTACGAATAATTTGGTATATTCATTTCTGACCGAGTTTCTGACTTATTCAGTATCTTCATATTCATCTCGGTGGAATGTCGACATATACACCATAATACACTTGGTATTTCAAATCAAATTGTCGTTGCATTTATGTCCATGGCACTCTAAATTGAAATTTAAAATTCAATTTTTTTAAGTAATGCACTTTTGACATTTTTATGTCAAAAGTTGAAATATTATATGTCATTCTATACAAAATGTCATTTTCTTTCGAATGAAGTGAAAAAATACCGAAGGTGTCATTTAAAAATCAAAAGCTGTAGTAATTTCCGGTGAAACAGGAAGTGACCGAAAACAATAGTTGAATACGTCAATCAATCACAATTTATATCATAATATACTAACATAGCAAATTTCGTTTTTTATGTGGAAAAATAAAAAAGTTACAGAGGCAAGCCACTTTTGAGAAACACCCAGTATAACTTAAAAAGTACTATACGATAGAAATAATCGGCGTCAAAGAAGGTTTGGAAATGAAGAATGTTGTCATTTTATATATAATTCCCCATATAGTTTTACATTACGTCATCGGTCGTTATTTCCAAGCCAACTGGACACCGGTTCCTTCAATTTTACGGTAGGAACTAGTTAAAGTTTTAATAAGTTTTTTAACAAGTTGAATACAAATGTGCCTCTTAAATAATATCTCGTTTTTTCCATTAATCTCGTTGAAATATAAATACTAAATAAAGATGTGGCGTCAAGAGAACACCCCCACCGTTTGCCAAATTACTAAATTATATTTAAAAAAATATAAGTGGCAAAAAAAGCCGGGCTCTTGCTAAATATCAATATTATCGAGAAAAAAAAATGAACCTGACACGATCACTCACATCATACACCAGAACACATCGTACACTCGAATATCACTCACATACGCATACACATACAAGCCGCCCTAGCCCATATATCCATGTCCCGCCATTTTCCCCCGTTTTCTGAGCCCCCCAGCCCCCTTGCCCGAGGCATAATATGGCTACCCTTCCACTGTTCTTGCAGCTGAACGATTACGAAATACGGAAGGGCAAAAAGCTCGGCGTGACCATTTCATATAACAACCACCGGTTGTTTGTGGGCTATATTCCGAAAAACCGAGATCGCGACGATCTCCTGGAAGAGTTCTCGAAACATGCACGTAAGTTGAGACTTGATGATGTCTATTAGTCGCGCGACCCGCCCTGAAGACGCCCACGTCAACCGCCGAGAGTTTTGGTTCGACAGAGCGCAAGTCACGCCTCCTCTAAGGCGTGGCTTACTGTCCGTTGGCCGCGACGGAGTCTCCGCCTACGTCAAGGCGTATTTAAGCGGTATCTGCGTCCATAAGTGGGCGTGGCGTATTCTCTGAGATATTTAAAGAACAAAAGTTGAAAGGTCATAATTGTAAATCATTTGGACAATCGAATATAGTCCTGATAATTGTGTGACACTATTAGTTTAGGGAACAACATGATATTATAGAAAATAATTACTCACATTAATCATTATTAACGTTGCAGAACACGGCGCAATGTGACCAACATAGCGATAATAAAATTCGGTTTAAACTAATTTTTGCAGCTTTAATCTAAATAAAATATCTGTTACAATCCTTTGCGCTATAAGAGCTGCTCGGTATCTTAAATTATACAACAAATTTAAACATTTGTGCCAACATTTCGTTTAATCAGGTTTGTAGGCTTTAGTGTCAATTTTCATATGATTGGTGACGTGCATCGGAAAATGTTTTGCGATTACCGTAGTTATTAATCTCAATAGAGTTCCAAAGATACTTACATCTATCTATATTTTCTTGTTCTCTGCGCCTGTTTTTTTATCAATGTAGCATAATTCGTTCACGATTTAATACAATTATTTGTTTAATTTGTACAATTATTTGTTTCATTTTTGTGCAAGCAAATATTACAGGCAACTAAAATAAGAGTTATACGGAAAGTTCCTTCAGTCGTATTATCTCCAATGAAAAAAAGTACAAAAAACAAAATTCCTTAGAATCATCTACGTCTAATTTAATGATCTATGTATAGTTTGATTTTAAATATAAAATATTTAAAAAGTTTTGTACATTATATCTAGTGAAGCATCACAGCATAGGCTTTAATATTTATGAACACTTTATTTAGAGTCCATAAAACGAGACCCCGCCTTATTTGAGGCGTGGCTCAATTTTTGTTTGACGGGACGAAGACTCCGCCTTTGCATGGGCGTGGTTTGCCTTTGAGAACGTAAAAACTCGGTTAACAGGTAGGCGTGGTGTTTTCCGGCGCGGGAAACAATACTTTTTCAATACAAATTTCTGTTTTTATTATTTATCTTTCGGAATGCGATAGTCTGGAAGCCTTTGAGCAAATGGGTAGGGCAGGGCTGCCACGCTACGTTTTACGAAAAGCTTCGTTTTTCTTTCTAATTTTTATAAATTAAACATTAAAATATTTTAGACGAGTTTTTCGTAAAGTGGCGTTTTTCCAAATTCCAAATTTCGTCGCACCGCGGCGCTTCTTGTACCGGCACCGTTTAGCGTTGCCGCCCCTTTATCTAACACGGCGTTCTTGTGTTTTCTGTGCAGCCGGCCTCATCGAGGTGATCATCTACAGCTCGCCGGACGACAAGAAGAAGAACAGGGGGTTCTGTTTTCTGGAGTACGAGTCGCACAAAGCAGCTTCGTTGGCCAAGAGACGATTGGGAACGGGCAGGATAAAAGTAAGTATTTCGTAGCACCACGTTAAATTTATCACTATAATTTTTACTACACATGGTCTTTAATGCCATTCTAGTATTTAAGGGGGTGATTCGTGGACTTATTTTAAGAAAAAAACTTCATATGAATGTTTGTCCTAAACATTTTAACTTTTGAGATACAGGGTCAATTTTCTAAAAACTAACTTTTTTTCATAACAACTCTGATATTATTATCGTTATTTTGATGAAACTTGATACACGTTTTCTATGCATCAAGATGTCTTTTTTGATACAAAAATATTTATTTGTTTGAACCAGTGCCGTCCATACGCTTTAGATAATGTTTTCAACTCGAATTTATATTTTGAATATTGAAATATCACCTTCTGGCATTGTTCTACAGGGTTACAATCTTATTTACATTTTTCTGGGTAATAATCAAAGCATGCTTTGGATATATTTTTTTTGAAAATTTATTTTTAATGTTGTTTATTTAGATTAACAGTGAACTATGTCAAATTCAAATTGGGTGTATACCTAATTTTGAGAGATCTTCGCTTTGAGTGCATTATTGCATTGAATTTTTGCAGCAAACTGACATTATCTCTTAATGATATCTTAATATTAAATTATTTCTCTATCTTCTAGGTATGGGGTTGTGATATTATAGTAGATTGGGCGGACCCTCAAGAAGAACCCGACGAACAGACAATGTCCAAAGTCAAAGTGTTGTACGTACGTAATCTCACTCAAGACATAACAGAAGAAAAATTAAAGGAAACATTCGAGGGTTACGGAAAAGTTGAACGTGTCAAGAAAATCAAAGATTACGCTTTCATTCATTTCGAAGACAGAGACAATGCCGTCAAGGTAAACTTAAACATTGACAAATAACTACAGATAAATAGCTTATTATCATATAAATTCTTTATAAAGTCATCAACAATAGGTTGTTTATTAATTTTATATACGGGAAATCCATTTTAACAATCTGTGTAATATATTTACATGATATAAGACTCTACAACATAATTGCGCATACAGTTTAAAAAAAATTGTGTGTGCAAATGTGAAACTTCTTATTAACAGCTAATTAATTAAAGGAGATGAAGGATATATATTTTTTTATGAATGCTTTTTATAAACTTCAAAAAAATTAGAGTTAAAATAAAACCGTACACTATTCTAGCTTTATAATTTTATGTTTTTTAATTTTTATTAAAAAACGATAATTCTATTACTCGGCCAGATAGCCTGGCAGCTGTGGCCATTAATCCAAAATACTACTATAGTAAACGCCACGAATGTTTGGGAGTGATTCATCGCTTGATGAAGTTAGAATCGACACGCGCGCTATCATTTTTACATTAAAAAAGTAATTTTTTACCGTAGACGTAGGTTTTTAAAGTCCGGTCTAATCATCTGCCTGCGCTCCTCCTACTTATTCTAAAATGTTAGCGTGATTGACAAAGACGATACTATATCGCGTTTCTTTGATTGATTCGTTTTTGTGCGTCAGTCCATTGGTGTGCTTGCAGTGCGACCCATGGGGTATTCCATTTTATATTTATAACCAAATATATGTTTTGACAAGACTTTGACAGTTAAAACAACAAATTACAACAGATCATATATTGATTATTATATGACTTGAAACACCACGGCACTGGAATTAAGTTTTATGTGACCTTCAACAGATTAGTTCACATGGTAGTGACCGATGAATCACTCCCAAACATTCGTGGCGTTTACATTACATCTATATCTCTGACTACTACTAACTGCTACTAACCAATTTTTTTTGTGGTCTGTGGTCTATTTTTGTTTAAATGTTTTGTTCATTATTCATGTTAGGGATTTATTTTTAAATTAATGTCGTAATCGTTAGACAAACTCATAGAATATGTATTTCTTTTGCATAATCAAAATTGTCACTCTAAATTTTATATAACCAAATTGTCACAGTAAATCGCTTTCTTTTTTAGACAGATGCCACTTGTCTTGTCATTATTCAATTCATTATTCGAATTCCCAAAATGTTGTTAACAAAAATTTTATCTTAAAATAAAATTTGAATCAATCACAATTGTTTATCTCCATCATTTGCCGGATTAATAATACAGAAATTACAGTTCAATTACAAACAATTAATTATTTATAGTGATTTACAGTAATTTTATTAAATTATACGAATATTCTCGTTGATTATTGGTTTGAAATAAATATGACAGTATCCTCCAATGAAAATACTAGTTTAAAGTATTAGTATTTATTCAAGCTGGTGAGTGATAGATTAATAGCTATAATTATATGACGCTTAAACAATGAATTTACTTGACAGGGATATTGTTTTGTAGGCAATGGAAGAACTAGACGGCAGAGAAATGGGAGGATCGAACATAGAAGTATCGCTAGCTAAACCGCCATCAGATAAGAAGAAAAAAGAAGAAATTTTAAGGGCTAGGGAAAGGCGTATGATGCAAATGATGCAAGTTAGGGGAGGGTAAGATTTAAATTCCATTAAAAATATATTCCTGCGAACTTCTGGGACTTAACCATTATAAAAAATACCGAGTGGTGCATCGGCGCAAACAGGAAATACCATGCAAATTTTGAACTGTTCAAATATTGGTTGTAGATTATTGATTTTCTTGATTTTGCAGCGAAGTGTAAATAGTTTTTTTAAAGGTCTGGGTATGCTGAAAACACATGCCCAATTTGAACAACTTTGAGCAATCCGTTTTTCATTAATCTAAGAAAAACTGCATCTATTTTTAAGCTAAAACTGGACCAGGTATGTCAACATGCTTTAAGTTGGTAACTTATATTTTGTAATTAATAATTTATATGAATATTATTATAATGTAATTTAAACAAGTTTTAAATTACAAAAATGCAAAACGGGTTCATTAAGCGCAGGTACTATAACATAGTAGCGTAGATACCACAACAAATTGCATTCAATCATAGGTTGACAGCTTTGTTTAGTTTTAATTTAAAAATAAATGTTTTTCTTAAAAACTGCTTGTTCAAAATGTTTTAAATTTGACATTTGTATTCAGCATACAGAGACCTTTAATAAACATATTTACCACTTCAATGTAAAATCAACAGGCGAGCCAATATTTGGACAGTTCAAAATTTGTATGAGATTTCCTGTTTCCAATGCTGATGCACCACACATTATGCGTATGTTTTATTTAAAAGCTACTCGGTTTAGAGTTTGTATGAGATATGAGAGGCAAATTTTTCTCTCTTTATTTATATACGAATTGTATAAACTATAAAATATACCTGACATTTGAAGGGAGATGTGTTCCCTGTAATTCCATGAGTTTTTTTATGGTTAGATGCATTTTTATCTGATTAAAAATTATTATTAAAGAATTATGAAGTAAGAAACATTTTTTATAGAACAAAAAGGATAGGTAGGTTAGTGAATATTCTAACGAATTGAATAATATCAATGTATAACACCGATAAATGTAGTTTATATTCTATTTTATCTATATAGTAGGATAACTACGGTAATCGCAAAATAAATTCCGATGCACGTGATCAACTTTGAGTGACAAGCGATGGCGACGGCGCTGTCAGTTTGTGATGGATTTATGAGATGAATCTTAATTTAAAATTGACGAATAATATATTTATTATATAATTTTTTAAAGATTTTTACGTTTTATTTTTAACTTAATAACTAATATTATAGTAATTAATTGATTTATTTGTTTTATAGCTAATTTTACTTATTACATATTGGCAAAAAGTAGTCCGTTATTATTCTAAGCGTTGTTATGGGTTATTTATTTATTTATTTATTGATGTACATCTTACAATGCCATAATAAGTGGTAATAACAAGTAAGAGGGTGATATTAATGCACAAATTAATGATCACAGAATTTAATAAAAACTATAGTAGAAATAACTTTGAAAGTGGTATAATGTGCTTATCAATCAAACTTACTTCTCTTATTACGGTCAAGGGTAATAAAGGACCTTTATAGTTACGTTCTCGATCAAAATAGTTTATCATCGAAGCTACAATTGCTTCGGCATATTTTCAACACACAATTGCAAGAAATGCAATACAATAACTTGAAAATTTAGTTCTTATAGAACTGTTTGTGCTTAAAAGTACAATTTTTAAAAAAAGACTATAAAAATAGACAAAAAAACGAGAATTACTCACAAATATTCAACAACACGATATTATACAAAATAATGACTGACATTAGGATAATTGTCAAATAATAAAAGACAACGCAGCTGAACACGGCGCAATGTAACCAACATAGCGACAATTAAATTCGGTTTAAACTAATTATTGCAGCTTTCATCTAAATAAAATATCTGTTACAATCATTTGCTCTATAAAGTAAAATGAAGAGCTGCTCGGTATCTTAAATTATACAACAAATTTAAACATTTTGCCAAAATTTTATTTAGTCAGGTTTATAGACTTTAGTGTCAATGTCGATATGATTGATGACGTGCATCGGAAAATGTTTTGCGATTACCGTATATTTTTATATCCATATTTCCTCAAAATATTGAGGTTAATTTCCATATATTCTTATAAAACAAGTACTAGCTGCTTTCAATACTGAACAGAACCATTACCTTCGAGAGAGAAGGCTAAACATCTTTGACGCGAAAGTTAGATACGCTTTCTACGTAATTTTGTGTTGGGGTGGAGATAATATAATGTTTATTATTTAAATTTCATAATTGTGCATTTCAGTAAAATCAGATTTATATATCCTACCTGTATCTATAAGACACACCTATTGCCTTAATGCGATGACGTCACGTGTAAATAAGTTGTAGTTGATTAAACCAGATAAGTTTATTTATTATATGACTTTGATTAATACATCCCGAGCATAATATATTGTATCATATTTAAATATTGTTTCCCTGCGTCTTTCTCGAAGAAGAAACGTATTTATGGATTTTCAATCCCAGTTTTACCGGGGTATATTGACTATAATCTAAACTAAAATTTACATTATCCTTTTCGTGTGGCACAGTCCTCGAAGTTCTCTAAAATGACGTTGAAAAATATTTATTAATACGACTTTCTCTTTACAGAATGATGCCTGGGGCTATGCCTCTGCGTGGGCCTCCCGGCGCCGGGCCCAGGGCCGGACCAGGTATGCGAGGGCCTATGGGACGAGGGGATTATGGTAAGTACTGTAATCCTGACCCCGACCGACCCGCGTCTCCCTTTGGCACGACACCATTCGTGGTCCTGAGTCCGCTTGCTGTTGTTTTCATCCGAGTGACATCGAAGCCAACACGAAAAAATCGATATAACATCGAATGTATTTACATTTCTCGAATTCCTTTCGATCGCTAAAACACTTTAGATGGGTTATATCGGTTTGTGTTCGTTTTGGCATCATTTTTGCGATACTAACGCTTCTTTGAGTACGCCGTTAACGATTCTATTAAGAATTTCTCAGCTAGAGAAGGCCGCGAAAGAATAAAATGTCTCTAGAGGAAGTGAAATTGTATTTTAGTGTTGTTATAACAGACACACCAAGTCGACTAGGACATCATGTCACTAACCAACATTTTTTCCAGGATTTTATCGAGTATCGAGGGGAGATAAAAAACTTTATTGATTAATATTAGGATTATTATTGACTCACCCTTCTTTTTTAATATCGATTTGGGTCTCGTCAGGTCATTGGGTACGTCGAATTCAAACCACATGTATGCACAAGCAAGCAGAACAAATATCATGTTGAAATAACATATGTAAGAGGAATATTGTCTCTAAAACAAAAATTTATGGGGACATATTTTTCATTTCGTTTTTATTTGAGCCCATAATATTTACAAGCAACAATATTTATTTATAGATGTCACTGAGAAATTTGTTTTTGGTAGAAACCAAAAATAAAAATCTTATGGTTCTGTTTACCAAAAAGTGTGAGTTTTAGAGAAGATATTTCTACAATAAACATTAGAACTAAATAATAATAAACATTAGAACTAAATAATTCAGAAATAAATTGAATTCTTAAACAACTATTCAAAATTCCTCATTTATTATCTGCTTCTAAAAATACCATATACTACTATTTTTTTTATATTTACGTAAAAAAAACTATCTATATTGTCACTTATGAGCAATAATATGGCACTTGTTATAAACAGGTCATGTCATATGTTTTTTTATTAGATATATGTGCCTGAACTAACATATATTTTATTGTTTTTGCAAATTTGTTTATCAAAGCATTTCTGCCTATGAAAAGAAATATTCCATTAATGTTAATAATAAGAATACCTTTTTTAGCGATATTAGTCTAAGTACGGTAATCGCAAAACATTTTCCGATGCACGTCATCAATCATATCGACATTGACACTAAAGTCTATAAACCTGACTAAATAAAATTTTGACAAAATGTTTAAATTTGTTGTATAATTTAAGATACCGAGCAGCTCTTCATTTTACTTTATAGAGCAAATGATTGTAACAGATGTTTTATTTAGATTAAAGCTGCAAAATTTAGTTTAAACCGTATTTTATTATTGTTATGTTAGTCACATCGCTCCGTGTTCAGCAATGCTGTCGTTTATTAATGAATAGGTAATTATCACAATGTCAGTCATTATTTTGTATAATGTTGTTGTATCTTGGTAAGTAATTCTCGTTTTTTGCCTATTTTCGTAGTCTTTTTTTAAAAATTGTACTTTTAAGCACAAACAATTCTTTTAAGAACTAAATTTTCGAGTTTTTGTAGTGCATTTCTTGAAATTGTGTGTTTGTTGTTGAAAATATGCCGAAGCATTTAAACAGTCGAAGCAAAGATTGCTTTATTACCCTTGATTGCAGTCAGAAAAGTAAGTTTGATTGGTAAGCATTCTATTTCGACGTTAGTTTTTAGTAAATTCCCTGATTATTAGTTTGTGCATTAATTGCCACTTGTGGTGTTGTAAATTGTACATCAATAAATAATAAATAACACTTAATAACGCTTAGAATAATCTTCATAATGGACTAGTTTTTGCCAATATGAAATAAGTGAAGTAAGCTTTAAAACAAATAAATCAATTAATTACTAAAATATTAATTATTAAATTAAAAATACAGCGTAAAAGTCTTTAAAAAATGATATAATAAATATATTGTTTCCCAGTGTTACATTAATATTCATCACATAAATCCATCACAATCTGGCAGCGCTGTCACCATCGCTTTTCACTCAAAGTTGATCATGTGCATCGGCAATTGTTTTGTGATTACCGTACCCAACAAAATTTATATAAGCGACAAAAATGTTTTTTTTTGAGGTTATTAAGAATGATGCTCGATGATATTTATCTACATGTATTATCATACATTTTTTACTTGTGGTTTGAGTTTGGCGATTCCAAGAAGGGAACACACATTGATTTTTTGGCGGTTTCAATAAAAAAATGCACAGCCGATATCAGGGACATCAAAAAGGTTCAGGGTAACTTTTATGGCAGTTTTACTGCCCCTATTTTATGGGGTTATACATACGTGCTTTTTATTACAATATTCGGTCTATTTCACATAAAAAAGTCGATAAAAAATTTCAATCCTAAAAAGGAACCTATTGACCTGGACATTATCCGATTATAGTAATTTTTGATTAGGGTCGAAGTCAGTTTATTTAAACCCCGCAATTGGAACTGATTCTTTCAAAATACATAAAATAACCAGCAGGGGCACCGCAAGAGGCAGAAGGGCATTACGTAATCAGCATACTGCACGCGGTCTTCGACTGTTTTTTAACATTGCATGCATCTCTTTGTCTTATATAGTCCCGATGTTCCTCTTCATTTTAGTACCCGAAACCCTATTCATTCTGAAAAGATAGAAATTAACCTAAATATAGATATAATAGAAATATTTTCGGTACGTATTTTGTTCATTTCATATTATTTGATTTCAAATATTTCTGCGGTTTTTGCTATCAACATTCCTCCATGTAGAAAGTCAGGGATCCAAAATTTTTAACAAATATTTGAATATATTCGTATAATAAAATTATTTTACTATACCGCGGGTAAATCATTGTTGGGAACATAGGAAATCCCAGGCAAATTTCAAACTGTCCAAATATTGCCATAAACGACGCCGTAACTAGGTTTTTAAAGGTTTTCTTATGTTGAATATACATGTCAACATTGAACGATTTTGCACAAGCCAATTTTAAGTAATTTACGAAAAACTGCATCTATTTTTTAATTAAAACTGGACAGGTAACAATGTAAAAAACAAGTCAAATGCCAACACATCTTAAGTTGTCAACCTATGATTTTTAAATGCCAAATTGTATTTTCTAAACGTTGGGCGTAGATAAAGGAAATAAGTTTACATTTGAAGGCTCGGCTTGCCGCCAAAACTTATAATTGTTTTGGAGCGCATACGTTGTAGGGCGCTGCCATAGCGGTTGCTAAGAACAACCGCAAACAAGAACAGAAATGATAAATAATTTTATCTTGTCAAAGTGAGAATCTTCAAAAATTATAAAATCTTTCAAAATTTAAACCGCCCTCATTGAAAAAATACCGAAAAGTGTTTAAAGCGTCCATTTTGAAAGTAATTATTGCTATCTTGCGAGTTTAATTTAAATTTTATTTACCCAAACCCGTGATAATTGCGAAAAATTGGCATTAAAACTTAAAAAGCTGTGTGACCTGTGAACTGCAAAAACCATCCTGGATCGTGGCATAACGTTGGTTTCCAATGTTTCATAGGTATTTCATACATGTTCTCATATAAAATAAAGTTTCTTATTACAACACACTGTATTTTATTAAAAAAAAATAAAAGAAAATAATAATAAATTTGAATAAATAATATTTGGCGACATAATTCCGGAAAAGGCCGAACCCCTCTGAAATTATCAAAAGCTTTGGAGAGCGACCGTTGTAATAATAGCGCCAAATAGTATTTATATTGTCCTTATGGGTACTTTATACCAATCTAAACTTGTTTCTTTTATCTATGACGGTTAGGATTTTGCCTGCTTGTAACGAGTTTTATATAACAAAAATGCATTTCGGGCACACTAACTGTAGGTACTATAACATAGTAGCGCAGACAGCACAAGAAATTGGCAAAATCATAGGTTGGGGACTTAAGGTATGATGACTTTTGTCTTGTGTCGCCTGTTACCTGTTCAATTTTAATTTAAAAATTGATGCAGCTTTTCTTAAGTTAGTTAAAAACGGCTTATCTAAAATTGTTCAAATTTGGCATGTGTATTCAACATACGCATACCTTATTAACGACTTCACTGAAAAATCAACATGGAAACCAATATTTGGACAGTTTAAAATTTGAAAGAAATTTCCTCTATGTCCCCGATATATTCAGATGTCAAAAAATAGTCGTGTGTCTGAAATTGGTAACATTCGAAATAAAAAAAACAATCTGAATTTTGACAATTTGATTTAAGTTGCATTTATATCAAATAGAATGCCCTATATCCGATTCTGTGAGTCGTATTTTTATACATATTAGGTTAGTTTCTTGTTTCTCTTGTACATTCCCCACCCACTTTAGATTTAGCGAACTACATTCATCGATTTGTCGGTATTTAGAGGACATCCGAGCAGGTAAGTACATGCCTGTCTCCCTAACCATCTTTAGTACGTCTGTAATTCCCCGAAAATACCCCCTTCATCCTTATCTTTTAATATTCTATTCGTACTGAGCTGTGGTGCAGGGATGGACACGACATGTAAACCCACTTAGGAGTAACATTTGATCGCAGGTTATCTCGTGATCAACTTTTATTGAGGACATGAAGAGTTAATCACGTGATGATCTTGATTTTTCATTAATATTAAAAACGTAGAATGAGTAGTGTAAGACATATTTGGAGATATTGGTTATTTCGATAATCTTGATTATGGGTAGTTTTTTAAGTAAATTTTGATTTTGACGAGGAATTTATCGAAATACGAATGTTTTAACTTTTCCCGGCATGTTTATTAGTGCATTTTCTAGAATATAGAACCTCTAAAAGTATTTGTAAGATACTCGTTGGTTCTGTGATATACTTTTTGTGATTGAAAACCAGGTGCAACTAATGATTTTAATTTTAGTTATAGTTTTATAGGGAATTATATACAGTATGTTCTGAATTACGTTGACTAATTTTATCAGCATATCTCAAAGTTAGAATCTTTTAAATATGTTTGCTTTTTTTGATCACAGAAAATACAAATTTTACCGTTAACAAATTCAAAACGAAATTGTGATATGGAATTTATTGATCAGTCATGAAAAAATTAGTCGAATATAATAATGCTTGTTCTACCTTTACTGACACAGTATCAGTAAGCAATTATAATTCAGTATGTGGACAATGAAACAAAATCTAGAATTTTATAATGTCATCCAATAAAGAAGAATACAATATGACCTAAAAAAAACGGCGTCAGCATTGGTTTGGTTTGGATCACGACAGATAATGGATCGTTATAGCTACAGAATATACTGATAAATTTTAATCAAGGCAATTCTGGATAGTCTGTATCGTTTCCAAATTCTCGATTTTTTTGTAAAAAATACAAATATTTTACGATGTAGTTTTTGATTATTAGCTCTAAGAAATTTTCAAAGCTACTTTCTGGTATTACATTTATTGTGTTTCTCATAATATATAGCCAAATAACTTTACATAAAATTCGACATAAAAATGAACAACCCACCAAAATTTTGATACAGTTTATTTCTGTTTGGCAAATAGATGAAGGAATCAAAATTTTGAATTTGACATGAGGTCTTTACCATCTTGGATTTTATTATTTTTAATGCTATTTTTGCTTGTATTCGTACTTTTTATGAAAGAGGTTATGAAAAAGTTTGTAAAAAAATCTGTTGTTTTTAACTTCTATACAGGGTCGCCGATTGTTGAACGGTCGATTATTAGGTAAAATATACAAGGTACCACAAAAAGTTAAATACAAAAATTATAGGGTTTTTAAATGTCTATTAGCAAGTAATAACTTTAATTATACAGGGCCCGTCATAAAGTTGTGGCACATCAAAATTTGTTTTTAAAATGCAACCACCTGTATATTATTGCATTATATTAATTTTAAGCGGTAATCGCAATACACATACTGTACCTAAATTCAACCATTTTCGAATTATGAAGTTTTGATTCTAAAATGTTAATCAGAAAAGACAATTTTGTGATTTCCAGGCTTGATATAATGTCATTTTATACATCTATAAATGCAAACTTGAAAACTAATATCAACTATTATTAAGTGTTACAGTTTCCGGTAGAATGGCATCGTTAAATGAAGCCGATCACATCGAAATTAATTAAATCGAATTAATTGTTTAAATGATATTTTCAAAAGTCAATAACTCGAAAACGGTTGGTTTGAGGTACATTGTGTGTATCTCGGTTTTTGCTTAGAACTGAAGGAACAACTGAAATATGGAATAATATACAGGAGGTTCTATTAAAAAAATAAACTTTGATGTGCCACGACTTTATGGCCGACACTGTATACTTAAATTTATAACTCGCTAATAGACATTTAAAAACTTTTATATTTAACTATTTGCGCTATCTCATATATTTTACCTAATAATCGACCGTTCCCATACCTATCATCGACCCTGTATATTTGTTTAGTTTGACACAAAAAAATCTTCTTAAGTTTTATTATAAGACAGACATATTCTACAACAAATTCATACTCAAGGCGTATTTTTTCATGTACTAGTCAAATTAAGCGCCCTACGTGACAATTTCAGTTTTACAATTTTTTTGGCTAAGTTTAAAGTTTTTGGGTAAATAAATAAGAACTGAAGCATGAGCGACTGATGGAAGAGGTAGAATATCCCCTTGGGAGGACGACACAGAGTACTACGTCAGCGTATGTAATATCAGACAGTAGCATTTTGTCTCTCTTTTTGTAGATTACGATTACGAGTATTACGGTTATGGCGACTATCGAGGCGGCTACAGCGACCCGTATTACGACGACTATTACCGGTACGAGGACTATTATTACGACTACCAGCAGCCGGCGTCGGCCGCGACCGCTTCTGCGCCGAACCCTATGGCGCAGCAGGGCCGAGGTCGCGGCACACAGGGTCGCCCCTTACAGCCGGTGGGTGGCGCTCAACATTCTACTTTTATAGTGTCTCTCTCGCGCATTTTACTTACAGTACGACGGCTTAATAGTATAAGAATAAAAGAAATACTATACGGGTTGCTGGTTACATATAAATCATACGTGCGAGGTATAAGAACTTTTTTTAGAATAATATCTGTTGGGGGACACAATGAGAAAATACTAATTTGAATTGAAAATTATAGAAAAACATCCTATTTTTTATATAGATTGATATAACTACATTTTTAGAATGGAAATGTCATGTCTCTACCGAGTAAAAACCCTAGATCATAATTATATACTTACGTGGATGAGGTAAATCACTATGGAAACTGTCACAAACATATCAACGACTTACATTTATCTTCTTTCTTTGTTGCACAAGCGATGCTTCTACTCTCTCTGTCCTTGTCGAGGACCTATCATCCACGCGCCAAATTTTATTAATTTTAAAAATTTAATTTATAAAGTGCACATATTTGAACAATAAATTGAATGTTTATTGTCACAAAAAATTAAATTACATAAAAATAGATTTAACCACTCCGAAGGAATATCAATATTCTTAGGAAATCTAACCAGAAAGTATGCGTGTCGTTTAATATAAATAAAAGAACAGCTGAAAAGTTTACTTGCCTATGAAAAGATAATTCGGGAACCTTTATATATTTGAACACAACCAAACACTTTCTAGTCATTTTTACGAGTATATAAAAAGTCCAACGAAAAAAAAATAGAAATGTAATTGCACAAATTTAAAATTAACTTCTCATTGGACACACTTGCGTCCTTGGCTATATAAAAACGATCGATGAAAGGGTAATTGATACAATTTTTAAAACAAAGAACGCAAAAAACGAGCGTCGTTACACAATGGAAATAAGATTATGGCAATATGCTTCTATACTGAAGAAGCAGAGAACGACCCCCCAAGTCGATGGACAGATGATATTAAGAGAGCTGGAAACTGGATTCAAGTGGCACAAAATAGAAAGAAATGGCTAGAGTTAAGGGAGGCTTTTGTTCAGCAGTGGCCGGAATAAGCTAAATGGTGATGATGATGATGATGACAATATGATAGCAATGAAAAGTTGGTTTCCATAACAAAATATAATTTGTACTTTCTAAACCTTCTAAAAGTGTGATTTTTTTGGAAATGCGTGCAACTTTCATTGCGCATTCGTAAAGTAGGGTCCTCAGAAAAAATAAACCTATTGAACGTTTCATTAGTGCTTTTAAGGTTTGAAAATGGCATGTCGTGATGTTGGAGACATCGTTTTTAATGCTAATCGTATGGCGTTTATGCATCCACGTAAGTATAAATGATCTAGGGTAAAAACCCTAGATCCTATATACTTACGTGGATAAGTAAATAACTAGAAAAACTGCCGTAGACATATGAACGACTTACTATTGTCTGATTTCGTTTGCATAACATTTGTGGTTATGTCGGAAATATGTTCAATTCTTATTGCGCATGCGCAAAGTAAGGTCCTCGGACAGGACAAATCTATTGAATGCTTCATAAGTGAAATAAAGGAGGCATAAAAATGGCCTATCGTGATGATGGATATACCTTTTCTAATGCTAACCTTATGGAGGATATTCAATCCTTGTAAGTATATCCTAAGATCTAGGGCAAATACGTAATGTTTGACGTTAGACTTAAAATTCCTTTTTTTGAATATGAATTTGAAATCATCTTTGACCTTTCATTAAATCTAATATTATTAATATGTCCGTTTTCTATTCTTGAACATTAGTAAATCATTTTGAGGGGAAATATTTCTTATACTTTAGCGTATTATTTTATGTGCCCAGCTCTCCACGTCCTTTACCGAAGCTTTTTCTTGGCTAGGTCAGAGTATGACGAGTGCGTTTCAACACTTAGCTCGTCTAACTCTTTTTGTCATACTGGTTTTCCATTTTTTTTTGTTTAAATTAAGAAAAAAGACAATACAAAAGCGATTTGCAAAAGTGTTTTTGCTTGGTGTGGCCTTTTTGCCTGATTTTTTTTTTAAATGTCCTTGTTATGACTAATACGAAATGTTCTGTTCCTTCCAAAGAATAACTGTAACTATTGGCGTGTTTTGGCGTTTAACAGGTTGCGAATTTTAAATATGGCTAAGCCCGTGTGAAGGTGTGGACGCTGTATGTTTCATTCAGCATAATATAAATATTTTTACTTGTCCTGATAATATATAACTTCTTACGTTTTGATAACTATGATATTATTATCAGCAGTTCAGCAGCATATCCATTATATATAATTTTCTATTGTAAAATGTTAAAAGTTTTATTTTTTTGTACCTTTTAACAATTATCTATAATAGTAACTCTAAATTATTGTCAACGAATTAACTCGGAAATACTAAAGTAAACGCTAAAACACGCTGATAACTAACACTTCAAACAGTAGAAGCTTTTAAATAACTGCGCTACACAAGAATGTACAACCTGTAACGTTTTTATTTAGAAATCATAACATTTTTAACAGTTTTTTCCTTTGTATTCCATTTTATTTCCTTCCCGAGGTTCACCTACTAATGATAGATACTTTTGCAAATCGCCAGATTGGTTCATACGGTTTTTGACTGTGGCGGTGTATCGACTGTCAAAACTAACACAAAAAGCTGCAAACTGCGAATCTTAACACAAACTCCATTTCCTATTCATTCATCGCACAAACACATACACACTCTCTGATCGAAGATAGTGAATGAGACGTATAGTGATTTCTATTGATAAAACAGGCACTTTAACAAGTTTTGGTAGCATTCAAATACATTTTTTTTGCTTAAGGGTGATATTTAAAGCTATTCTGCCTAGATGTATTTATAACTCATCTGTTTTAGCAGTAGAAATTATTATTAGTAAAGATAAAGCATATGGCTTTCTAACAACATAAAATAACCATGTCTTATTCACTATATTGTTTGACGCTTTTATCTGAACTTATCGTTCAACGGATAACCCCACAGATCCTTAACATTGCTACTAATAACTAAGCGCGCATAGTCGAGCATAAGCCACACTCAAAACCCCATCATATCTGAGTCAGGTTCAAGACAAGAAAAACAATTTGACAGCCGGGAAAAGTACGCACAAACACATGAATCAATGCATTTTCAAAACTACTGCGCGAAATGTTAAAAGGTTAAAATCAGCGCGAAAGGAAACTTGTGGGCGTGTCGAGCGAGTTAAGAAGGTGTGTCAAGAGATATGGGGCGTGGACGAGGGGCGGGACTAGCGCCGGCTCAGATATGATGAAGATTTTGAGGGGGGCGTGACAGATGTGGGCGGAACAATCGGAGTTGTCCTCCCACTGGTCGCAGGGTTATCCAAAATCAGATGGGAAGAGCCACGCTGATCCATACACTAACCCACCACCGAGTCTTACCGTTTTTTTCTGTGATTTGTTTTAATTTTTTGGAAGTTTATTTACGTGACTTTGGATATGTGATGTCTGGTAGTGCGATCTTTAAATCCCATTTATTATTTAATGTGTCTTTTATAATATATGAAATATGATTAAACATATATTATTGATTTCTTGATATTTTTTATGTTTATTCAGATGTTGCTTTTATATGCGGTGAATGACGTTAAAGTTGCAACAAATAGTAACATGTTTTATTATTGGGTTATCGAATATGTGATAAAATATAATATAGTCTATAATTAAAAATCATTTTCATATAGTAACATGTATACAACTGTTGCCATGTCGTGGAATTTATTCTATGGCTATCCTATCTGTTGCAAACTTTCTGGCAATCACTGTACATACGCCGTGTTACATTATTTACGTAGTACATTTAGTTACTTAATAAATATCTATCTTGATTATCTATATTCATTAAATTTAGAGATCGCACTTCTTGTGACAGTATCCAATTAATTTTAGACAGCTTGAAGCTAAAGTGTCTAGTCAAAAACTGCAGCTTTAATTTTTTGTTTGTTTATGACCAGTTAGTGCAAAATTTTATTGATTTTATTATTGTAATTTCTAAATTTATTAAAAGAAAAATTATTGTTTTGTTAAAAAAAGATAAATTTATATTTTTTACGCTGTATCAGTTCTTTACAGTTTGTTTCACTTATTTTTGTTGTTATAATTAATTTTTGTTTCCCTAACCCCAGCTTTTCGCTTTTTTGTTACAGTTTATTTAGTTTTTGTGCTTTTAGTTCGCTTTGCTTTTGCTTTTTGCTTGGCTTTTAATTTATTTTTATGCACCTACGTTCGTATTATCAAGGTTTACGGAATATGTATAAGTTAACTCACTCCCTAAGTAATGTTGCAGTTTTAAATGGGAAGTCGCTATCACCATGGATGCAATAAAAAATGAGGTAGTTTATTGCCGGGTTAAGCTGTTTTATTCAGTTGAGCGCTTTCTCGACAGTTTTCTAAAATGAATCATAATATAAAGACGAGAATAGTATTTACATTGTTTACATTTTGAAGTAATTTTATCGGGTACAATGTATTTTATTCTCATAAATATTTAATTTTTACCGATGATCTAAAATGGACAAAAACACATATTTTACATGCCCAGTATATATACTTCGATTCTGGAAAGATGAGAATAGCGTTAGACTATTTTCATTTGGCGAAGGCAAGCGGTGGCGATATTTAAATGTGTTTTTTTTACTGTCTAAATTAATTTAAAATCTGTAATTTTCTTAGGACCAGTGACGACCTAATCTAATGGACCAAACAAAGATGACTGAACTTTTATATATATCTTGGATTTTATTCTCAGTGCTGACGAATGACGCGTATAACCCCTACATCAAAATGGAGTGAAATATTAGTATGGGAATATCGGTTCCACATTAGTCGCGTTACAGTAGCGACCGTTCCAGAGAAATACCGCGACAAAATACCGCGATTTTGTAACCGAGACTCCGGCTTCCAAAGTGTCGCTGTTCCCGCCTATGCGGCATTTCTGGTCATTGTACTTACCTACACCTCTCCCTGCCGTTCTCTCTGTTTTCGTGCAAATTCATAAACAATAACAATTCATAAACCCCCCAAATTTGTAAACAATAAACAACATGCAGATGGCTAAAAGAATTTAGTTATGTTAGCTTTTAATTTTGAAAATTTGGATTGGAAGTAATTTATTGGTATTCAGTACTTTTTATTCTCCATCTTTTCTCCAGTCTGAAGAATAGCTTTTTAGCTATAAAGCTTTTAGCTAATAAGTTTTATATTTTTGACTTTTAAACTCTGTTTACTTTAGAAATACTTTAGCTTAAACAATAAAAAGTAACATAATTTGAATCATTATTCGAGATACCTACGCCATATGCTAAATTTCTTTATCTGCCGTGTATGTTTTTATATTTACGTACGTTATCTACGTATATTCCTTATTAGTGGAAAAATCAGTCGTACTTCATTCCCGCGTGTTAGTAAAATATAATTATTTTTTGGCAGATTATATAACTCTAATTGGTATTATATTTTTAATCAATTGAATGTAACTTTACAAATTTCCTTTTTTTCATATTTCTTCTTTGTTTTCTCTTATTTTTGTAAATAAACGATACGTACTTATCTCAGTAATAACTGGTACTGGTAACTGGTTCTGGTACTTACGGGAACTGATACTTACCAGTTCGATCCTACGAGCGCAGTCGTGCAACTACTGACACTGGAGCGAAATACGTCGCGGTATAGGTCGTTACCAGTTACATCTCTTCGCAACAGACCAAGCAGTCGAGATCGCGCGACGCTACGTACTTACCAGTTCCAGTTCCAGTTACTACTTACTGTTCACGACCGACGAAATCACAACCCTAGGACCGCGACCGCTGCGCTGGAGTGAAACACGGCTATGCGTGGTGTACTGCAGTTCGAGCTAACTTCAAGAGCGGTTATAAATAATTTATTTGCAAATTATAAATAATTTATAGTTTTGTTGTTACTATGATCGTCGTTCTTCAGTAACAGGTTCCTGATTCGTTGTGGAGTGCGACACGACGGCGACGTTACAAAAAATACCGCTCTAAAATCGCGTTACTCAAATATCGACACATCACTATGAAATATTCAGTATGATGCAATCGTTATCTTTTCTGAATCGGTGTACCTTATACCTCATACCTAGTAGGCTAAGGCTACAACTGTCGAAAGCTGTTGTTATAGCATCTGACATTCAAATTGAAACAAACCATTGACATTACTTAATAAAATTTAATATTCAATTTTTGTCCATATGTGGTTATAGGTAAAATATAATACTTAATACTTTTGAAACTTTTGTATTTCAAATGCATATTTCGTACATAGAATATAAATACATTATACTCATCACTTTTTTATTGGCGTGTAAATATTTTTCTCAACACTGATTAAGAATTATATTATTAACAATATCTTATTATTTTGAAAGTCTTAATTAAGGTACATTGTTTATTTTTTAAAGGTACATTGTTTATCACGTTTTTTATTTTACTGAATTGCAAATATGAAGGTAATTACGGTATGTTACAAAATAATTTTGGTGTACTGAGCAGTAAATCATAGCTATTATGTTAAACTACTGATTTTCAAAAATACACCGTCAAAAAAGCAGACGGCTTGCTGCACTATGAGTGGGAGTGAGTCCCCTGTATGCGACGACTTAGATCTCAGTATTTAGGAGAGTGATTCAACTTATACTACATTCTGCAAACCTTCTTATTATTTTCTGTCTGGCCACATTTTATTTTGTATTTGTCTTTATCGCCATTCAAAACAGATCGGTTACTCTTTTGGATAACCCTTTAGTTTTTATTTGATATAAATAAGAAGACTTTCAAAAGTTCTGTCTTATTTATTAATAGTTTTTTAGTCTATTTTATTTATTAAGTTGTTAATTATTGAAACCCATCTTTGCTGGTACTTAGGTGTTACAGTTTACTTTTCTTTTTTAATTTAAATTTAATTGATTGGAATTGTGACACTTAGGAACTTGAAGAGAACTGTTGCCGTTCTGAAGTGATTTTTGGCGATAGGAATATGGCACAGGTTTGTCAAGATCCTTTCTACCTATTCTTTTTTGTTGTTATTCGATAATCCTCTAACCTAAAAACCCATCCAGTGCTCCTTTATTTCTTTCTGACCTATAACATTACATAAGATATCCCAAAAACATTTTAAAAAAATTTAATGTAGTCGTTATTTTTGTTTTTCTAACCTACGTTTAATACTTTATGATATCAATTTTACCCCTGGCCATCCTAAGTACGTGGTCTGTATTTTAACGCATAAGAGAGAGATAAAGATAGTTGACATAAACAAAACTAGTTGAAGGACAGAGACACAAAGAAATGCAGAGTTTTCGATTTCGACGTGCACGTGGCATCATGGTTAAAGATAAGCGAGATTTGGAATGAATTTGTTATTATAAAATAAAATAAAATTACTAATTAATTATTGATATGTTAATTCTCCAACCTGCAATACTATTCGAATCGTTTTAGGCGGTTTTCCATTCATAATGTAAAATCCGTTGATGAAGAAATGCAATGTATTCTTTTAAAACATAGAGTACCTTCTCTTATATGTTAAAGTCTACATCAAGGACTTAGGTTGACCAGACTTGTATTTGTATGCAGCATACAAAAAATAGCTTAATTAAATATTAATAATTATTAAATAATATATAATTTTTATTTAATAAAAGTTATTTGATTTTGTTCGATGTGCCATTCCCCATCATCATTTTTTGAAAATATAATTTTTCTCCATACCCTTAACACATCCAATTATGGTAGAAAGGATTATAGCTGGTAAGGATGGGCGTTTTAAGTTTTTAGGATTGTTCTTTTTACAGATGTTTTGGAGATTGGTTGTTTAAGAAAACAACAAGTTTTTGATATGCTTTAGGGTTCATAATTATACTTTTTTCCCAGAAATTATCTTATATTCCTCTATAGAATCGTATATACCTTTTAATCGAGGATTCTATACCACGAACATAAATACAGGGTGGTCGGAACTGTATTCCGGAAACTTCGCCAGAATATTCTACAGATAAGAAAAAGTAGAAAAGTTCGTATAAATATATGTTCTAAAATGCTTAGTTTCGGAGATACAGGATGTAGAAGTTTCGTTTTTATGTCGATTTTTTTCAAATAATTTCTGAAGTGACGTCAATATTTGAATGAAAATTGGTATCTGAGAACTTTTCGTCTCTACCTGTATACATCTACTGAGTAAAAAATATACATTTACGTCGTTTTTTACGTAAATAAGGTCTCTTTGTAAAAATCGCTACGAGCAACCGTTCTCAAGATATTTAGAATGAAAATAGTCAATACATGTCATTATTGACAAAAAATAAACATGTTGAGAGTAGATTAGTTATTTGATTGAAACTATAGATTTGGGAACTTTTTATTTTTTTAAATTAAATAAAACAGTTTTTATTAATCTTTTTTTAACAAAAACATTTCAAATTTATGATTTCAGTCTAATAACTATTAGTCAACATGTTTAATTTGTCATTGTTTTCTTACTCAGAAAAGTTATTAGTCTTCAAATTATTTAAAAATATGTAGGTGGCAGTTCAGGATGTAGTTCAGGAATTATTTGGAACAAATCGAAATAAAAATTAAACTTCTACACCCTGTATCTCCGAAACTAAGTATTTTAGGGCATATATTTATACGACCTTTTTTACTTATTTTTATCTGCAGAATATGCTGCTGAAGTTTCCGGAATATACCACCCTGTATAACATTATTCTTCAAATTACTAAAGTTAAAAACACTGCATTCCAATCTTGCATTAATCTTACTATATTATAAAGACATCACGTCTATAATATATTAAAAAGTGCATCAATTGGGGTTTACTTCAAAACTTTATGTAAGAATTTATTTTAGATTCATTCGGTTTCTGTTGATTATGGCTCTATAACTAACAGTTAAGGAGGACGCGCACTGAACCGACTCAGACTGGTCCACTCGACTAAGAGCTATCAGCAGGTTTTGGTATACATAGAAATAAATGCAACCCCGCGCACTGATTCGGACCGGTCAAATTCAGTTATCTTCTATGGATACCAAAACCTGCCGATGGCTCTTAGTCGAGTCGGTGGACCAGTCTGAGTCGGTTCAGTGCGCGTCCTCCTTAACTGTTAGTTATAGAGCCATAATCAACAGAAACCGAATGAATCTAATATAAAATACATTTTTGGTCACTTTCTACTATACAATATACTCTGATTAATATAAAAAAAAACTTATATATAGTTTTTAACATATATAAGTTTTTTTTTGCCAGTCTCCAAATAAACAAGGGGACCAAGTAAATCTGGTCCTCATATTTTCTTTTTCGCCACTTTAACCAAAACTTCTCTTCTGATTGTGTTCTTCCCTCCACTATATAGGTTGGCCGTGGGCGTGGGGCGGCGGCACGTGGCCGGGCGGCCGTTGGGGCGGCGGCGGCGGCGGGCCGTGGAGCGGCGTCGGCGGCCCGAGCGGCACGGGCAGGGGGCGCAGCCCGTGGGGCGGCACGCCAGGTCGCTCGTGGAGCGGGCCGAGGCAAGGGAGCAAGTTTACCAGGTGAGTTTTATCAACTTGGTCGTCTGGTTCATTTGACAGTTATGTATCTGATCCTCCAAACACTCGAAAACTCACAGAAATAAGTAAAGCTATAGTCCGTCTAACGACGAAATCCTTGACAGTGATAAGACACATTACAGCTAGAATGCTATGTTTACTTATTTCTTTGAGGTTGAAACGAAGATAGCATTGCCGTTCTGCCTTACATTACAAAACTTTAGGAATAAACGATCGCTACCATATTACTAGAATATAAAAAGAAGAGTATTAAGAAAGGTTAAAGATTTTTTACATTTATACCGCCAATTTTTTTTGTCTGCAAATTTTCTTTTTATATTAAAGGGCAACACTATCTTCGTTTTTTTGGTTGATTCGTCGTAATATTCCCTACTCAAACATTTAAATCCTTATATTCTCCTTATTCCAGGCCATAATATCGGGGTGATGGCCTAGAACACCTACATCCAAGTTTTCCTTTGTCCTGTTTGTTCCATTGAGCTGTTTGGTGATGTTGTTGGTTGTTGTTGTTGATGAGTACGTTATTAGACCAAACTTTGTTTCCTCGTGCATATAATCTTTATTATTGGTTGATAAAAACGAACATTACAGATTATAATGCACAAATTTCATTAGTTAAAGTGAACATAGGATATAAGAAAGAAATTGCATATAGGTTAAAAATATTTTGTTCGCCACTAAAATAAAAGCGTTATATTTTGTACATGAATTTTATTAGTTTCTCTCGACTAATCGACCCTGAATCGTTTTGTTTTACAAGTGAACATAGGTCCATTATAAATGAACATAAGATATCAATCCTATGTTTATATTAAAATAAAAGTAACCTATTATTCGACACATCTAGGCTACTGTTTATTTGTTTTTTACAAGTTAACTAGATCCATCATAAAAGTGCACATAAGTTACGAATCTTATGTTCTGAGTTAAAAGTATCGTATTAACGTAGTTTTTAGTATATGAATTTCGCTAGTTTCTGCCGCCTGCTTTCATTTTATAAATGAACATATATCAGTGTTTAAAAAAATCAAATAATTTATAAATAATACACCTTGGCTACATTTAGTTTACAAATCGTGTTTTTATATTTTAATCGAACATAAGTTATAGATCCTATCTTCACAGTTCAAATAAAATTATAAAATTAATCAGTTTGAAATTCGCTAGTCTCGGTCGAGAAATCAACTCGTTTCATTTTATAACAGAACATGAGTTACTGTAAATCAAAACAAATATTATTATTAATCCAATTTATAAAATATGTTCGCATTATTATCCTTACAAGTAAAATAAATATCGTCCAATATATTAAATGTGCTTGTTTATATATCTCTGTAAGTAATAACATGACTTGTTTCAAAAAGTGAACATAAGTTAAAGATTCTTTTTTTAAAGATAAAATAATATAACACAGTATATGATTTTTTTAAGGATATATCAATATGTGTCATTTACGAAGTGAACATTGGTCTATCCTATATATAAAAGAACATATGTTTACATTTAAAATTACTGTATCGACTTGTATCATCTTGATTGTTGTCATGACATTTGATTGTTTCTGTTTACTATACTCTCTATACTGGTTTCATTTTACAAGTGAACATTATTTCTTCCTAAAAGTGAACATAAATTAAAATGCTATTTTTACATTTGAAAGAAAGTAACGTATTAATCAGGATGAATTTTACTACTGTATGTTGACATGTTTCTTTTTATAATTGAAAATATCACTAATCTAAGTCATCCTATGTTCACAAGTACATATATTTAAATCTACTGTACCTTTGAGTATATAAAATGTGCTTGTTTTTATTTATTATTGAATCCATACTTCCATCTTGTTATTCAACACGGATTGTTTCAAAAAATAAGTTATAAATTCTATTTTCACTGCATTTGCTAGTAACATAGGTCTATTCTAACAGGGAGACAATAAATGTTAACAAATAAAATAAAACTACTGTATCGGCCAGTGTATGAATTGCGCTTGTTTCTATTTACTATGGTTTTTATACTGGTTTCATTTTATAAGAGAACATGATTAATTTCAAAATGGGAACATAGTAATAAGGCAACGCATTAATCAGCATATAAGGTTTACCTGTCGGCATATGTTAGTTTTTGAAGTAACGTTGGCGTATTCGGCCTATGCTAAATAAAAAAAATTCACATGTTCTCTATTAAACTAAAACTATTGTATCTTTTATTAAATAATAAACGCATTAATCACTATATGAATTTTGCTAGTACGTGTCAACTTTTTTTCGTTTATTAAGTGAATGTAGCCGTATTTTAAAAGAGAACATAACTAATCCTATGTGCAAAATTAAATGAGAACTATATCGTCCACTATATTGAACTGGTTTGTTTCTTTTGATTAATTATCGCTTGTTTAGCAGGTAAACGGAAGTTTGACGGAGGTCACCAGAACCAGGGGAGACGAAGCGGCGCTTTCCAGAGCCAGGGCGGCGCCGGCGGTCACCAGGGCGGCTGGGGCGGCATGCCCTCGCTCAGCAGCCCCTCGACGCCAACGGCGACGAGTGGTACCAGGACTCGTACGGCGCCTGGAGTTAGAGTCGCCGGCCGCCAAGCGGCGGGACACTACCACCACCACCATCAACGTCATCAACATCGTCTGCGTTCGTTTCTGATCAATAATTTCACCATTTTAATTCGAATCAGGTTGGCTGGTTTATCGGAAAAAGGAAGGTTTATCTGGAAACGTTTTTGTTTATTACATCCAACACTACAGAACAATACACTGTTCATCATTCTAAAAGGAAACGAACATAGGTCATAAATTCAAATGCACACTTTCAAAAACGTGGTTTAAGTATATATTTTCACCTCTTAGAATAACTCATACATTTTTGCCGTAAATCTATACCTTTTCGTAATACACCAGCCAATTATTCGACAATTTTAACTCCCTTTTGTATTTAATTTTCGTATTCGTCTTTCGCCAATAACTGATGATAATTTTTCGTCCTTTTTGTATCTCGAAAGAGAGTTTTTTCGGTAATTTTAGTCCGGAGGTTTTGAAAAATGAAATGAAAAAAAAACGGATGTTGGAAATGAAAATTCCAAAAAATCTGTTATTACTTGTGTTTTTATTAATTTTGTCTGTAATTGTAACAAAAAATGATTAAATCGTACTAGCGAGTTTTTAAGATTTTTTTAAAGAGGTCTGGCAGTAGCAGATCAAAAATGTGCGGAATGATAAGTCAATCTGACCGTTTAGTAATAATTGAAAGCGTGGTTAAAGCAAACTTATTTTGGAATAGGCCGGAAAAATTATTTTTTGAAATCAGAAATTGTACTATTTTACTGAAATCATCCATCCACACTATTTTGATCTGATACCGCTAGACTACAATGTTTTTTTAAGTTTGCGTCTTTATTTTTATCGTTGTATTTCGAGTCGTCAGCGTAGGCATGTATGCGGTGATCCCCCGATACCTGGCTACTGCGACGCTTGTTTTTATTATTAAATACTTTTTTCAAAAAAAAGTAGGCCTTTAAGCTGCTTTCTTCTTCTAGCCTCTGGAAATGTTTGGTTTTTGACTCGTGCTTGTTTAAAAATTGATGCGAAATTTTTATTGACCCGTCGTTTGGATGTTTTTTTTTAATTGTTAAGTTTGAGAGCGTGATTGGAGGTAGAAAGAAGAGGGTTGTTTTGAGGTTATATAGATAGAGAGAGAGATAGAAAAACGAACTTTTTATCACACGCGGTTGGACCGAATCACAACTAAGTGCGAAGTGACATATTTTTTTTAATTTGTATAATAATAATATTGTATTTTATCATTATTTTTTTGGTGATGCACTGGTTGCATTGTGATGTATTTTAGCGATAATATTAAGGAAACAATCGACTTAACTAACCATACTTCTGTTTGAAATTCTATTGTTCTTGTATTGTTAATCTGATTCGTAACACAACACCCCTCCCCCCGTTTGATTTACACGAAATGCCTCCGTTCAAAAAAAAACTAATATAAGTAAAATGGAAAAAAAGAAAACACGTAGCCCGGCAGTTGACAGAAACAACACCAGAGATTGCAATCTTAGTTACTATTTTGTTTCTTTTTTTTTCGTGGTATTTTATTTGTCCGTCTTATTCGCTTATTTTTTTCTTTGTTCTTATTTTATTCTTCTTGGTATAATTACACATATTGACACGCACTTGACGGACCTTTTTTGTTCTTTCCTGTGTGATTGTGCATCTATAGCTAATAATAATTATAACGAATCTGAAAATGATAAAAAAAAGAAAACTAAATAGAATTGTACGCCCCTTTCATAATTTTCTGTTTGTGTAACACAATTGTTTTGTTCTTTCCTAATTTTTATTTTGCAATTTTACTATTCGTATTTACTACATACTATTACTACAACTATCACCGACACCATACTTCTGTGACGAATTGGAGGCGTAGGTCATACTTTACGCCCCATTTTTTAGATATGTCTGTATTTTATTGGTAATTTTTTGGGTCGGGGTCTGCGCATTGCCGGCCTAACCCCCCATGTTGTTGTTCGATATTGTCGTATCGATAATTGACAAATGGACTGATGATATAAATATGTCTCAATAAACAGTTGTATGTGTATTACAATTTTAAATCATGTGTTTTATTTCTATTCCTTTTCTTCTTTCAGGTCCCCTTTTTTAAGAAATGTGAAGAAGTCTTTCAACACCCTGTGAATGCTAAACCCAGTTAATAATTCTACTTAAAACGCGATTTGTTTATCGACATCTACACATCAAATTTGAAATTTTTAGTGTGAACAGTTGAAAAAAGTTAATACCAGACCATTTCGCAAAATTGCCGTGTCTTCCTGAAATAGAAATAAATAATGCAATAAAGTGGATATTGTATACCGGGTGGTGCATCATCGTTGGAAACAAAGGAAATCCCATGCAATTTTTGAACTGTTCAAATATTAGTTCCCCTATTGAGTTTACAGCGAAGTTGTAAACATATTTTTTAAAGGTTTATGTATGTTAAATACAGAGGCCAGATTTGAACAATTTTTGACCAGACGATTTTGAGTAATCTAATAAAGTCTGCATTTATTGTTATATTAAAACCGAACAGGTAACAATCAAACAGCAGTCAAAAACCGCCATACCTTGTAGGTTTGCAAACTATGATTTTGTCATTGTCTAAAGTAATTTAATTTTAATTGATTTTAATATACAACGGAAATTAACCAAAACATGTCAGATACACTGTCTAAGCTGTTTCCCGGCTTAGTACCATTTTATTATGTTCATTTTTTTCTTTACGTGTACAACAATAAATTATTACTAGTACTGAATATTAAAATGTTATTAAAATTAAGTTTTATTAAGGTTTGTTATAAATTAAAGTTTGAAAATGACGATGACAACTTAAGGTATGTCGGTTTAAAAATAGATGCAGTTTTTCTCAAATTGCTCAAAATCGGCTTATCCAAAATTGTTCAAATTTGGCATGTGTTTAAAAAACGAAGAATTTTAAAAAATCTATTTACGACTTCGCTATAAAATCAATAGGGGAGACAATATTTAAACATTTCATAATTTGCATGGGATTTTCTGTTTTCCCCGACGGTGTACCACCCGGTATAGTTCTATACAGCGGCGTGCGGTGACAATTATAGGCGGGGAAGCGAATCGGTAAAAAACCCTATTTCGAGACTTTACTTTTACATTTCCTTAAAAAACTTACCTTTGAAAATTCCGAGGCCAATTCCATTGTTCGATTAAAATTCTATCGAAAATTGTTAAACAAACAAAAACACATAAAGTTATAATAGTTAAAATACGATATTTTAAATTAATTTTCCGAAGCACTTGACGCGCGATAGGAACCTATTTGTATTTGAGGTCTATTCGTCTGTCAGCCATTGCAAATTTGTCTATAACATCATCATAAAATTTCGGATTTTCCGTTAATTGTTAGGCCTACCTTAATAATGTCACTTTTTTCTTGGAAGTTCCGACTAGAAAATCCCTTTTTTAATATCACACATACAACACAAACACAGTTTAAATTATTGTCCACACTAGCAGAAGCAGAAGATTGTCCTTCTTGACCCTCCATTACAAGCGAAACATTAAACACTAAGTTAAATTCGAAAAAAATACAATATTATCTATAAAATCGCAAGCGAACCCGTTCGGATAAATTAAAAGTCGCGGAAGGCGGCCGAAAGATCGCTGCCGTGGCTAGCAACTGTGCGCGATTTTCCGGCTTAAATTTGTCGTTTGTGTTCGATGCCAATAATACCTACATGAAGGAGGGATAGGCGACTGGCGGCAATTTTCAGGCGCGCATCCATGCATTAAAAGGCTAATTAAATTTACTACGTTTATGTAAGGTTTCAAATAAATAATTTTAACAAATTAAATTAATCTTTTATTATAAAATAACAGTATTATTAACGTTTAACTATTTTTTTTATCTTTAAAAAGTTTAGGGAAGCGGTGCTTCCCCCGCTTCCATGGACCGCACGCCGCTGGTTCTATAAGATATACTGTGTGACATAGAAATTGCAACACCTAGTAAATGTAAATATGTTTTATTAACATTTTGGGAAGTAGTTGGGATAAATATGAATAATACTCATTTTAACATTTTGACATTGTATAAAAGATGCCTGAAGTTATCTAGTTTTTATTTTTTTTACTTATAGTGTGCGCGGTTGGGGTCGCCGTGAATCACTTTTGTATACATTGGCAGTAAGTACTAAATGTTTTAGTGCTTGAATAAGCAACAATAATGTCACGAAACGTCACACAAAATTATATTTAAATGTAATGTTTTCTTTGAGCCTTCCCAAACCCACGAATTTTTCTACATACTAATTACTGGTAACAATACAATATTATAATTATTATAAATATAGCTAAGTATATACAGGGTATTGCAAATTTCTATATCAGACAGTATATACAGGGTGTCCCAGGCTGAGCGTGCATTAGAAGTTTCTAGAGAACCACAATACCTTAAAAAACCTTAAAAACGTTTTTTTCAAATTTTCAATTTGAAAAAAATGATTTATGATAATTTTTTAATCGCCCAATTCCATGACACTTGCGGCCATTATTATATGACATTCGAACAATTTAATTTTTGAAATAGATAGCTACATATCTTCTCTTTATGTCACAGTGGCTGTGGTCATCACTAATCTTGACTTTTGGGCTATACAAATTTTTTTGACAGGCAGTTTTTTTCGTCCAAAAATTTTAAATATTTTTTTTCTCAAAAACGGTTAATGTTAAGTATAGAGTGCTTAACATCAAAATTCATAAAATTTTACAGAGAATTTAAGTATGTAATAAAAAATGGGGGCACTCATTTAAAATAAGGAAGTTGCTGCCAACTTCAGGTATTTCCGGAAGTGCCGCCATATTGAAAATATATTTAATCGATAGATCTCGTTGTAAAACAATGATGCGCCAAAAATCTCCGATCTAGATATTGTAGTTCTCTAGAAACCTCTAATGCACGCTCAGTTTGGGACACCCTGTATATAGGTATATTCCACTCAATCATTTACAGCTTGTAAATGAATAAAATTAAAAAAAACATTCTCAATAAAGATGATTTCCCAAATTGTATTTAAAACTATTTGAAATCATTCTGTTTTACTTTAATTATTCTAATAAATGTAATTTACTTTCTAATAAATGGTATTTACCTATTGATTTTATTGTGGAATATAATTTTAATATTTCAACCAAAAATGAAAAAAAAATGTTTTGTTATTCAAGAAGGTATTTGTCCTTT